ACCGTTATTTTTAGCTCACTAAGATAAAGATTGCTCAGACTCTCTCGAAATTTAACCTTGTATAAAAATTAATCATAGAAACTTTCTTTTTCAAAGTAATTATTTATTCTGGTATTATTAGAATTTTTAATCCATATTTTTATCTTTTGTTATTTGCTATCCAGTGTTATATTGACAATTATTACTCTAATAAAAATGAAAATAGATCCTTCAATAAAAGCAATATTGGATCTTTGAGTTAGAATGACATTAGTGACATTAGGTCTCTAGCAAAAATGATAATAGATTCATGCCCCTCTCCAGAATAGTTTTGCCTGTTATTAATTATTACACCTAAGCCATATAAAAATGTAGTTCCAAATGTCAATATAGTTGAAACTAAAAAAAACAGTGCTTACAAAAATGTAGGGATGATAATCTAGAAGTTTAAAGATTTTTGGTGGATCAATAAAGCCATCTTCAAAAGTTATAATATATGCAACATTGTTTTAACTTGAAAATTAACAATGTAGAAATTGAAATTTAAATAATAATATACAAGAATCATATCAGAAGAATTTTTGATTAATGTGTAACATCAGAACTTTTATGGAACCTTTTAAGTTCTCTACTTTAGATAGTCTGTGCATTTAGTTTTTATAAATACTTTAAAGAAAACTATATAAATAGCATTTTAAAACTTTCAAACAGTATTTCAACAGTGAATATTAAAATTATTGTTATAGTAAGTAGTATAATGCAACAAATTATTTATTTCAAACTATCTCATATATTCCTTATTGAATAATTTCTTAAAAACACTTTTACAAATTCTGTCATTTAAATTTAATTTAGTTAAAAAACGGCTAAGAAAAATTCAATACAATCAGACTCCTAAATACCTGTTGTCAGGATCGCCTTCAATGCATGCATTTAAAGAGGCTGCAATTAGGGAACAGCCAATAATATTACAGTACATCTGTTGGCATGTGAGACCTGATTATCACCATATTATAGAGGCCTGCGCAGGCTGGGCTGAAATTTGAAAATTTTAAAAACCTCTCAAAATTGTGGGCCTGATATGTCAAGAACATAGTAAATTGTGGGCTGAACTTTTAAAAAACATAGTAAATTTTATTTTGCAGGCTGTGTGGGCTGGCAAAAGTACAAATTTCTAGATCTGTGCAGGTCCCTACCATATTATATAATGATATTTATATTTTATAACATTATTACAATATCTTATTAGACATTTACAAGTTTGTACACTTTTTTTTTTTTAATAACTCTTTATTACTTTATTTATATAAATTATGTATTGTTTATTTTATATTTAATAATCTTTAATCTGATTTACTCAGTTAATCATCAACTTGAAAGAAGGTTTTAAGGTTTACTTGTTTAAAAGACATGCTTCAACTTTTTCTGATTGTCTTTTGTAAATTTAATAAAGCTTGATTGTGGTTCAACTAGGCTTTATCACTTAGATCCTGTTGTATAAGGTATTGTTCCAGCACCTTTACAGCATTTAGCACCTTGTGGTGGATAATGAGAGGAATTTTTCCACTATTGTCTTCTTCACTATTATCATCATTTAAATCCTCAGGTTCTATGTTAGTGACCAAAGTTAAGATTTTCTGATTATTCAAGATTTCGTTTGTGTTTTCTTCTTCTGGATAATTAATATAGATTTCAAGATCCATTGCATTTCAAAGATTAAGTGCTTCAATATCTACTTTCATCTCTTCTATTAACTCATCATCATTATCATTAGTAGGCTCTTCATTATTTTGAACAACTAGAAGGATCTCTGTATGCCAGAAGCATATACATACCTATAAATAGGGTAAAATCATTCTCAAGTTTTAACAAAATTGATATTTTAATAAATTACTTACCATATCATTGCGGAATAACACCTCAGAGTGTTATTTCACAATGATACAATATGCTATTTAATTTATTTCAGCCTAAATATACAAATAATTAATAATTTCTTTAATTTTTAGAAAACCTAATTTCAATTCTATTTAATCATTCCAATAATTTTATTTTTAAGGTAATTATTTTGTTTATATACTGTATGTACCATTTCTGTTGAACCTTTTTTCCATGCTTGAGCAATAAATTTTATAGCATTAAGAACATTAATTTATCATCATTTTCAGATTCATACTGATCAAGCAACCATTTTATAAAATAATTTTTGTAGCGACATTTGAAAAACATGATAATACTGATATCAAGCGGTTGTATGCAAGATGTTGTGTTTGAAGGAAGGTAATGGACAGTGGTGTTGTGAAGGTTTAAATTGCTGGAGGAATGGCACTTGGCATTATCTATTAAAAGAATTACCTTATGATTGACTATTTTCACATTGAATTCTTTAAGCCATACTTGAAATAACACAGTCATCATCCATGCCTTACTACTTGACTCATATGTGATACTGAGCCTGTTGCATTTGATATATTTGAAGCACTGTAGATTGGGTGATTTATCTATTACAAAGGGCTTGAATTTATCTGTCCTATTAGTATTGGCACAAAGTGTCACAGTTAACTGTTCTTTGTCCTTTTTTTTACCCTTTAGACGAGTAGTTGCTAGTGTAGTATCCAGCTCAAGACTAGCATATAAAAGAAAAAAAAGAAGGAATTAATAAGTATTGATTTAGATGATGCCAAGAGAAAATCAGACTTTGATCATATTGATTAAAGTCTGATTTTCTCTTGGCATCACTTATTTATTGTTATATACTGATAAAATAGCTCTGTTTTATTCATGTTGTAAATGTCTTTTAAATTGTATTCTTTTAGAATCTTTCTTAACTGAGGAATGGCTATTGCAACTTGATTATCATCTACAAAAGCATCTTCTCTATGCTTTTTTATTTGTTCTAAACCATGCCTTTTTTTTGAACTTAAATAACCATCTGTGTGAAAACTTAAAGTCGCTTTTAGTTTTCACAGAGATGGTTATTTAAGTAGTCACTAAAGGCTTTGATTAGATCAAATAGATAACAA